ATGAGATTAAAAGCTGACTTGAAAAACCTCACAGCAAACTATAAAAGGTCTTACTTACTTCTCCACAGAAACAGCCTTCCTAAAGAAGGCACAGATTTCTTCTATGAACCCAGAAGTCCTGCCCTAAATGGATTATGACAGATACTACAATGGACAATGTTGTTGTTTYTCTTTAATTGTTGACCTTAATTTTTTCCAGGAGAGAATTAACTGGGAGTCACAACAGTGAAGTCAGAAGCTGGAAGAAATAAAGGCAGTGATCTGGTGAGTGTTCTTGTCATATACCTGGGAGATCTTAGACACTTCCCTCTTTGTAGCCACTGACTTTGCATCTTTATAAGCCCATCTCTTCCTTGTAAACCTGCCTAGAACCATTTGAAAACCTAGGTTTTCAATCACTTAGGGGCTTCCAATAAAATTGACAGTAACATATTAGCACCTTGAACACATAATATTCTGAAGACAATTCTCAAAATTATTAGACTCTGACTAGACTTGACCAGAAATCTAAATGTAAACCCAGCATTTAGAATCCTCCATTATTACCTGCCCATTGCATAGGACAAGTTTCCTGGCTTCAAGTATTTTTCACTATTGAAGCAYATAACATCCTTGCAAGATTATTGCAACCAATATTCTCTTTATGAATTAATTTCTTTATCATCTTTAATTTTATGTTCAGAAATAAGGGTTCTTAATAAAAAGCATTTTCAGAAGAGAAGTGGCTGTTTTCTAATAGTCCATACCAGAAGTTCATTTAAGAATTGTCCCTAATGATGAACCAATGTTTTTAAGGATCATTCTTTGGAGTTGTYCAAATAGAGGATGGTATAACACAGAAGCACTTCCACCTGAGACTCACTTTCTAACCACTGGAGATAATCATATCTTATATTTTCTGTGAAGGAAATACTTTGCATTATAGGCAAGGAAGAATCCAAAGAGTTGACCAGTCAATTAAAGATTTTTTTTTCCCAATTAACTCACCTTTTAATTTTTCTCTTTACTTTTTCTTTCTTTTAAATTTATTTTTTTATAATGTCTGAAAATTGCACAGATTTATGGAGCTCTGGCTTCATAATAAGATAACATATTAATGTTTAGTGAAACTCAAACTCATCCCACTAGTTTTATAGTAGTAGCTTATATTTATATTTTGAATGTTTGAGATATGAAATATATATTTCAAAGCACTTTATATGAGTTAACTCATTTAATCCTCATAACCCTGTAGACAAGTCTCACTATATGATATGACTTACATATCAGAGTGAAACCATAGAGTATAACAAATGTGCCTAAAGTCTTATAAACATAAATGCTAGAGGTGGGATGTAAGCCCAGGCAATCTGACCCCAATATGCATCCTACTGTCTGTTCCTGGATGAAAGAAGCAAAACTGACAGCTGCAGGAAAGCCTTAAATGGACATTCAAGTTTGTTTAATACTCTCATATCAAATTTAGCACATTGCTTTTTCAGGAAACAATGCAAGTATTTAATCATTTTTCCAACTTGAGCATCTTTGTGTCATCCCCTGTCTTGGGAAGTGGTGCTTATTGGAGAGTGCTCTAGCCCAGTGATACAGAACTGCTAATCTCTGRCCTGGTTCTTTTATAATTAAACTCCACAACCATGGACTGATTAATTTGCCTACAATAATTAATTCCTTTTTTTAAAAATGAGCAATAATTAGAAAATTTAATGATCAGACTTTAATCAGATTTAACAGTCCTTTGAAAATTATAAAATGAAAACAACAATCCTCGGTATATCAAACTTACCCATGAATCATTTGATTTAAGTAGACCTTTTTGGAAAAAGAACAAATGTAAGAAAAAGCAACTTTGAAAATAATCATCACCATGTCTTATTACACTGTTTGCACCCAGAGAATAATGTTTCAAGTAGTTGCAGTTAGCTTATTTACTCTTAATTGAATCCAGGGTTTTAAAGAAGAAATTTAGATTTATTAAATAGATGCACCAATGTAATAAAAATCAAGTAAGAAAGCCAGGGTGAGGGTTATCAAATAAACAGTAATGGGGGGGGGGGTGTTAGGCTTTTATGCTGATTGTAAGGGGATTTTTTTTTAAATAAACTATTACAATTTATTTTACAGAACTTAGTATGACAACATCATTTTATGGAACTCATTTAGAAGCATATTTATAATGTTGTTAGATTAGGTCATGRTATAGAATGAAGCATATGAGATAAATGGAATAAATGCAAATATGAAGCTATTCCAATGTTGGGGAATTGGAGACATAGAATGTTTTCAGTAGTAAAGATACCTACAAGATCAGGATGACAGCACAGGCTTATGTAGTGGGAAGTGGTATTAGTGAAATTCAGTTTTAGACTTATTATGTACATGTGCATGGTCTACAGCCATGTAATGAGGGACATCTGACTTTGAAATGAATACAGGAAAGCTGTCGTGTGGATGTGGTGCCTCAGTAAAGGTGCAATATTGCCTAGAAAGAGTGTACTGAAAGGAGAGAAAGAGTTCGAGAATGAAGTCACCACCTGCAATGGTTGAGGGGGTGGGGGAATTTGGAATTTGGAAGCAACCAATAGGTAACAGGAGGTGGGGGTTTTAAGGACAGAGTTCTATTATATTAGTACGTAAAACCAAAACATACTGAAAAATCTTTGAATTTGGCAGTGAAGATGTATTTTATAATGTTGAAGAAATAAACTTTCTTTAAATTATTGGAAAGAAAAATTGCCAGAACTGTGAGTGGGGACTTCRCTGTGAATACCCCTAATGCAACATTTAGAGGAAATGAAATGGTACATGAGTAAATATATGCAGGGCTGCATTTTGAAAGAAGAAATTGACAAACATTATCATGTGCTAAAAGTTTATGAGAGATGATTAGTAGAAGTAACTTAAGTGAAACAACATGGTTGGTAGGATCAACTTCACAGARAAGGGGCACATTTTCCCTAGGGAAGTAAAGAGAAAGATAGTGTGATCATTGATATATTCAAAAGCTGATTAGATGACTTGAACAGAAAGATCAGGATAAACTTATTTTCTATTTAATATTTTCCCTATAAATTAGAAAGCATTTTCAGGAGGAAGAATAAGGTGGCAAAGTAGGATCATAAATAGAATAATAAAGGTTTAAGATTGCTATCCATAGGGAAAGAGCTGTGTGTAATATGAGTCATGAAAGGACCTGTCTTTATATACATGGGTAAACACACACATAACCTAAAATTATGACCATACAAGTATAMAATGTGTATGTTCAATGATTTTTCTTATCTTATTCATTAGTTAAACTTCTATAATTGGCACAAAAGAGAAGAAAAAAAAGTAATTTGAAAGATCAGTCATTCTGAAATAAATTATACATACATAAAAATCTGGGCTTTTCCATGGAAGAGAGAAAAGTCAGTTTTCTCTATGCTGGACAAAATACACACAGACAAGGATAATTTTAATGCAAATATTGATATACAACTTAGAGAGTTATAGATAAGAGCAATAAAAAGCAGAAACAATTTAGAGAGAAAGTAGGTAAGATTATTTCAAAACTTATACAGTTATTCCCTGAAAAGGTAATGAAAACCTTTCTATTTTTCATTTACTATAACTTCCTGAATTAAACAGAGTAAATTTGTAAGTATGACAAATCATTGTTCCATATTTAGATTCCAGACTTGAACAAAAATTAGATGTCTGGATTCACCCAGAATTGTTATAGTGACACTTGATAACAGGGAAAGAACAAGAGGGGGAGTATACTGAAGATGTGGAAGCCAATTAATTCAGCATGTGCATTTGGTGAAAGGTGCTGTCTTTCTCATATTGCACATGAAGAAACTGAACTTGGTACATAGTTTTGCCGCCAAGATCTTGCAACTACTGAGGAGCAGTCGATATGGAAGTAACTATACAGAATCCTTGTTCTTTCTGTGTTATCAGTGGAGTTCAGACATGAAGGAGGAGGTCCTTGGTTCCTCCAAGGTGGAAGCCACATCTCAAAGTGAGAAATACAGACCTACTGCTCCAACCACATGACTGCACTTAGAACAGCAGCACTTTTATCTGTTATAGMAATAAACAAGACAACACAAAAGGGAAATAGTCAGTTTACTCACTTTGCCCACATCAGGTGCTTAGCCATGATCACTCCACACTGATGATAGAAGAAAAAAAAAAAAAAAGAAAGGAAAGAAAAATCTAAAGTCCAAGTGTAGAGCCCTGCAACTGGTTTGATGATGGCCCTATTTAATGTTGGAAACTGCTGAGGGCCATTGCCAAGTAGGAATGACGCATCGAAATTTCCTTGCCAGCSTACCCCATGTTAAATGGACTTGCCTTGGACATTCGCTGTGACATTGCATATGTTTGAGAAGGTGACCCTGCTCAAGGACCAGGGTGGATCCAGGTTTAGGGTGTATCCTGCAGGTTTTAGRAAGTATCCTGCTCCTTGTAGTTAGGGCGTTCCCAGTTTAGAACAATCCGGGTTTAAGGCAGTTCCAGGTTTAAGGTTATTTCTGCTGGGGTTAGGGGATATCCTGCTGCCTCTGGCATGCCCCGTCCTTGAGTTCCCCTTGAGTTCTCCTGGGAATTGAGAAAGTAATTTGGGAGGTGAATTTGGCCGAGAACTGGGATTTCCCCAGAACGTGTTTGTACAGGGCTGGTGTGAGTTCGGGAATAAAGAATTGCTGTTTGATTCTACAAAGCTGTGAGTGGCTCGTGATTCTGTGCCCAGCCAAGACTGCGGCAGGAAACAGTACCTTTAAACAATACCGTAAAATGACATGAACCAAATTAATTTTAAATGTATGTAATAAACTAATTGTGGACATACCTGGTTTCTATCAGTATACTCAAGTGGATTAGCAATCATTATTGCAATTATTTTGACCTTTTATCCTTTTTAAAAAAATTATTTTCCTTTGACAGTGTTGGGGTTGTTATTAACACTTCTATCTTTACTCTGTCAGGACTYCAGAAAGCCAGATGCACCCCAGATAATGAGGTTGGAGAATGATACTGTGAAGGCAGACTTTCTTCTCCTGGGATTCAGTGACCATCCAGAACTTCAGAGTCTTCTTTTTGCTGTGTTCTTTTCCATCTACTCTGTTACCCTGATGGGGAATCTTGGGATGATTTTACTAATCACCACCAATTCCCACTTGCACAACCCAATGTACTTTTTCATAGGCATTCTGTCCCTCATAGATTCCTGCTACTCCTCTGTCATTGCCCCTAAGTTACTTATGGACTTGATTTCTGATGAGAAGACCATTTCTTACAATGGTTGTGCTGCACARTTATATTTTTTCTGCTCTTTGGTTGACACAGAATCCTTCCTCTTGGCCGCCATGGCTTATGACAGGTACATTGCAATCTGTAACCCACTCCTTTATACTGTTATTATGTCAAAGAGGGCATGTTGTCAGCTTGCACTTGGAGCATTTGTGGGGGGAACRTTGAGCTCAATTATTCACACCACCAATACTTTCCATCTGTCATTCTGCTCCAAAGAAATTAACCATTTCTTCTGTGATATCTCCCCGCTCTTCTCTCTGTCCTGCACTGACACTCACGTGCATGACATCGTTCTGGTGGTCTTTGCTAGCTTGGTGGAAGGTATTTGTCTTATAACAGTTCTCCTCTCCTATGTCTGCATTTTGGCAGCCATCCTTAGAACAGGTTCAGCMGAGGCCAGAAGGAAAGGCTTCTCCACCTGTGCTTCCCACCTGGTAGTGGTCACTATCTACCATGGCACCCTGATCTTCATTTATTTGCGCCCAAGCACAGATCATTCCCTGGATATTGACAAGGTGACCTCTGTGTTCTATACATTGATTATCCCTATGTTGAACCCCCTAATTTACAGTCTAAGGAACAAAGATGTCAAAAATGCCTTTAGAAAAATGATTCGCCAAAAATGGATTCTTAAGATGACATGAAAATCACCAGACAACTTTAATAACATCTGTTTCTCTACCTTTGGTTCTAACTGTTGGAAATGTCAACTTAACATGGATATTCCTCAGATCTGTGAATAATAAAATCTCAAACACAGAATAAGGTTGAAGGTTAACCTTGGAGCTGGGATCTCTTACATTATTAATATAACATCTGTCTATTGTTTTAAAGCTGAAATAGTAAACATCAATCTAAGGGAATATTTGCTCACCAATTTCTTTGTGTCCTATTATACATTTTCTCCTCTTTCTCTAAACCTTTTTCCCCACAATTTCTTTAAAAAATTGGTAAATCAATGGTATTTCATCATCCTRTTTTTGTGTTTGTGTGAATGTGTGTGAAAGAAGACAAATTCAATTCATGAAGATTATTTATCATTAATCTTGATTCCTATGGAAAAATGTGCTCATCTGTTTAAACAGTTCACCTATCTAAATCCTACCTAATCTAAAATATATTATTAAATTTCAATTCTCACTTATTTGTTTTCTGAATACCCTTTCAATTTCAGATAAAAACTAAATTTGTATACAYTATTCACAGGAATCCTTGGTGTGATTCTTTCAAGATCATCATTTTGTTTGTCTGTTTTCTTATTTTGTAGTTGTCTATATTCTAATCATATTTCAGATTCATTAATTAAATCTTATTCATTATTTAATCTCTTGCCTCTTTAACATAGTATCTTCTCTAGTGTTCATATTGGGAGAATTTTAACAGGTTAATGTAAGTTGACCATTGATTGTTTTTAGTTTAGGTCTCATTTCTCCAATCTTCAGTTATTTCTAGTGCAGTATTTTTCATTCATTCTTCAGAGTGGTATAGTATATACAAGTGGTGKCCATTAAAAAATATCACAATGCTCTGAGAGCCAGGAATATGAACTGTTACCTCTGAATGGTGGGATGATGGGCTAACTTACTACCATACCATGACATATAAAGCATGCCTAGAAAATAAAAAGAAAAGAAAATTAAAGTTGAGGTTGAAGAATGAGAAAGAGGATAAACTAATGAGGGAAGTCTTCTGACAGTGGAAAATATATTCTGGGCCCTAAATCTAGACCACTGTGCTCTTCCTTAGAGTGGGAAATGTATGCATAGAAAGTAATTTGTCCTTCCACACCAGTAGTGAAATAGGGCTCTGACCCATATGGATTTTCAATAGTGAAGACAGAAATGGCATCGCGAGATTGAAGAGAACTAAGTTTTTCAAGCTAAAAAATCAATAGAAAATGTTCTCTGAAATGCATGGATTCATCACAACAGATATATATTGATTCTTTATACCTGCCATTCTAGTTATGGCCCTTGGGATGGATCCCACAGACTAATATAAAATAAAATGCTCTAAGATGAATTAATGAATTCAGTTTTTGAGAATGTGAGGTCTTGGATTGAAGTTACTACTGTATTTTGGGGCAAATGGCTTAAGCAGGTGATGATATGATTGGCAGGGGGAGTCATGGAGAAGCCTTATAAGGGACCAKCGAAGGACAGAGGAAGAGACCATCAAGAGACTGACTCGTGCAACAGCAAAAGGGGGTTTATTGCAGATCCAGCGMGCTAGGGCTCTGTGCTCACTCAAGAAGGGAGAGCGGCCCAGAGCCCCAAGCAGGGGTTAAGCAGGGGTTAAGCAGTGCTTAAGTACACTTTTTGGGGAGGGCGGGGGCTTTGCATACATCAGAGCAAATCATCATGAGGCTAGGGAAAATCAAACAACAACTCTCAAACATGATTAATACATTCATTGGCGGGAACAGGTCGGGCGGGGGTGATAGGTCAGTCCTAAAGCGGGGTATACATTCAAACTGATTGGTTTAGGCCCTAGAGTGTGTACCTGCTGAGCTGCTCAGAGTACGGGTTATTAAGCAACTAGGTAGTCAAGGGGGGAATCTGACACACATCTAATGGGCAGTTCCGGGAATTGTCTTAACTGCCACAGGAATTTCAGGCTTTGAGTATACCTTAAAAACATTACAATACCTGGTCCTTTACATTTTAACTCAGGCTTTGCAGCTTAGAAGCAGCTTTACAATGCCTGGTCCTTTACATTGTAACTTCAGTTTTTTTTATCCTTTCAGCCTCTGCTAAGCTCTAACCAGGAAGGAAGGCAGAGTCAGGAGTACTAACTCCTAGAGTCATTGGGCAGAGATACACAAACATGAACTGAGCCTGCCATCTGCAACTGTATTTTGACTAGCTAGGTGAACAGGCCTTTACCTGTAATCCTAGTGTACACAATATAATCACATAATTTGGTCATCACCACTTCCCAGAATAACCCACAACACACTTAGAATATTTTATAAGCATGCACCACCTTTCCTGTTGGTAAAATATGATTACTGACAATTTCTAATATCTCTAGCTGTTTCATTTTCATTTTTGTTTGATGACTGTGATACTAAAATACCGAATCTAATTTTGTGAGAGATATTATAGAGGCAGAGCTCTATTCTAGGTAATCACCAATAACTTTCCCAGAGGTTCACTCAAGGACCTAAAGGAGCTTTATTAATTTTCAGGTGCACATTTGGAGGAGGTGGAAATATCCTTTGGAACCTTCTAGTTGCACTGTATTTTTCCCTCTCACAAGTTCCCTTGTCTCCAGGGATGCCTCATTTCCTCAGGCTACACTCTGCTCATTCAGSATCCAAACACCAACTTCATAAACAGAATCATCCCTGCAGGCCATGTGGCACAAACCCTACTCCCCATCAATACATACTTCCCAAAGGAATTTGTGTTTTAAAAGACAACAGCCTTTCAAAAAATATTTTATTCAGGGTTAGGAGGTGTCACGAGGGGGTAAAATTATAACATATGCAGTCCACRTGCTTCTTCCCCTTTCAATGTTTTATTCACTCAAATTACTCAATACAATTTCGCTCTATAGATTCTTAATMAAGAAATCGACAATCCTTAATGCTAGACACTGCAATAGACATAATCAATTCACAGCAAACAATTCTAGATTAATTCTAAGCATTGCAAAACACACTTAATCATGATAGGCTGATGACAAACATTTCCTCTGTGTGCTAAGTTCAAAAGTCTTAAGTCTTAGACTTTAWATCCAAGGAAGATCACACTCACTCATACCACAGTGATCAGGTCCTGAACCAAAGCAGGCTCTTCCTGGCGTGGAGTGGACRACCWGTTGAGGAGAGGGTCCTAGGGAGGAGTTGAGGCTCTCACCAAGGTCCAGAGGAGGCAGTAGAGTTTGAGAGCTGTGAGGATCACACAGAGGCTCAGGGAACAATGACAAGTGATGAAATGTCAGCTCCTCATCAGGCTCTCCAGCTCGAGTGCAACCTTGTTTTGGCTGGCTGAATCCCTGTTCATTTGCTCTATCATTTATACTAAATTTTGAGGTTTTTTGACCCTCCTTTCAATCCTTATCAGCTACCACTGGATTTCTCAGTGACATCATTTACCTTGGGGTCAGAAACATCTGGTCTGGTGGTCTCCACCCTTATCTCCTTGCCTTTCCCTCTTATCAGACAGGGACAGCCTGCCAGGGGCTTCACTCTCTTTATCAGGGTGAGGAGAAATAACTTATTTGAGGCCATACTGGGAGGGATCTCTGGGTGTGCCTGGTGAAACTGCAGGTTTCATTGTTCCCTGAGCCTCTGTGTGATACTCACTGCTCTCAAACTCTACTGCCTTGTCTGTACCTTGGTGAGAGCCTCAACTCCGCCCTAGGAACCTCTCCTCAACCTGTCATCCACTCCATGCCAGGAAGAGCCTGCTTTGGTTCCAGACCTGGTCACCAAGGTTTGAGTGAGTTTGCATTTGCTGGACATAAAGCCTAAGGCTTAAGACTTTTGAACTTAGCATGCAGAGGGAATGTCTGTTATTAGCCTGTCATTATTAAGTGTATTTTACAGTGCTTAGTATTAATCTAGAATTGTTTCCTGTGAATTTATTATGTCTATTGCAGTGCGTAGCATTAAGGATTGTCATTTTCTTGATTAAGAGCCTGTAGAGGGCTGGGGCTGTGATTTAGTGGCAGTGCACTTAACTGGCATGTGTGAGGCACTGAGTTCAATTCTCACCATTACATATAAATAAATAAATAAAAGCCCATCAACAACTGAAAAAAATATATATATAAGAAGAACCTATAGGGTGAAATTGCATTGAGTGATTTAAGTGAATAAAGCAATGGCAGAGGCAGAAGCACATGGACATTCTCTGTTTCTCCCC